CCTAGATAAATTTGAACTTTGGATGAACAACAATAAAATTTTAGTATATATATCTTAGTATATATATAAATTTTAGTATATATATCTCCTATGCAATATTTGCAATATGATTCACAGTGTATCTATTTTTTAACTGGAATCCAAATTTAACTGGGTGTCCTGTATTCTGTCTGCCAACCCTACTGTGAGGCATTTCATTCAGGGACTTTCCATGTGCACAGCAACAGGCGAGGTAATGCTTCCCTGGGTTTAACCGCAAGACTGCAAAGAAAAAATACCTTAGCCCTGCATGGAGCCCCTACTAAGCTGACCTCTCCTCACTGTCCGTTTGTGCAGCTAACCACAGGCCATGTCTCTGCTGCCTCATGGAGGCTACATTTTCCACCAGAATGAAGCCTTGGGACACTCAGAGTCTACTGGCCCTGCTCCTCTTTCTGGAGGTGTGAGTAAAATTCACTCTGGAGAAGGACCACCTTCACTCACACGCCTTTATTTTAGTCAGTCATTAAAACTATAGTTACACCAAAGATTAGAAGGATGGATAGCAAATTTCAGATATTAGCAGAGCTGGAGATGATGTCAATCCCCATAATTGTCCCAGTAGTATGGTTGTGGTAACCGTGACTGCAGGGAATGGCTCTGTGTGTGTGTGTGTGTGTGTGTGTGTGTGTGTGTGCTGCTCTTTCCTTTCCCATGAACTGAGGTGACTTCATTGTCCTCCTCCTGATCCAGATGTGTCCACTGGACACATCTCTCAGTCTCTCCGGGCTCACAGGGCTCTTAGGTCATTTACTCTGATTGGTCTTCTCTCACCAAACTTGTACCCTTGGGGTAGGTTTCCAGTTGAAGAGCTCTTGGAAGCACTCCCCCAGCAGCTCTTTAACAAACATGCTATCTACAAGCAGCAGGCCCTAATCACCTTTACTTCGGGCGCAGGCTTGACCCTAGCTTGCTCCTGGAATGGAAGGGGTTGTCTCCACTGAAGGCATGCCTACTGCAGTTTCCCAACAGTCTCTCTCCTGGCTCTCCACCCACACTCCCTTCCTCAGGCTCTGGAGAAGCCTGGAGAAGACCTTCTGTTTAAGACAAAAGGCTGGATCCTACAGTTTTGTTTAAGACAAGAGGTTGTATCCTATAGTTTTATTCCCACCGTGCAACCAGCAAGGGGCACAGGCCTGCAGGGTGACGGGGCACACACAGTAGGCGTTGGTGACACAGAGCACACAGTCAGCGACCTGCTGCTGCAGCCCCAGGTGAGAATCTCACAAACCGGCCCAGCTGCAGCCCCAGGTGAGCGTCTCACAGAGCACCAAAGACACGTGCACCACGGCAGGTGTGGACAGCCCGGTTCCAAAGCCTCCACTTGCAACTTCCAACATCCAGAGCAGCCAACCCACCGAGTCAGATCCTATTTCAAGTTTTAGAAGTGATCCGGCCCAGGTGAAAGGGAAGAAACGAGAGGGGAAGAGAGGAAGAGAGAGGATGTGGCACAGCCCGCGGGCGCAGGTGCCCGGCGCGAGGGCGGCCACGGTGGGGGGCACTGTACCTCGGGGACGGTCACGCGGGGCTCGCTGGTCTCGGGTGGGTCTGGCCTGCCGACAGCCGAGCTCCCCTCGATGTCAAAAGGAAACGCGCTGCCGTCCCCGGACGCCGCGCTGCAGCAGGCGGCACTGCAGAGGAGCCACAGCGGCAGGAGGACGCCGCGCCAGGCCGGGTGCAGAGCCATCGCCGCCGCCTGGTCCCGCGGGCTGCGGTGGAGCCGGCGGCTCACCTTCTGTGGCTCTCAGTGTCCAGCTGTGGGAGCGCCGGGCGGCCCAATCAGCAGGGTGCGGGGGGGGGGGGGTGAGGGCCGGAGCCTCGCCTGCTCCCTCCGCCCTCCGGCCGAGGCTCCCTGCACGGCCGGCCAGCGCCCCAGCCTCGGAGGGCACCCGCGGAGGACGAGGTCCCAGCCCAGCCCAGCCGCGCCCGAGCCCACCCGCCTGCGCCGGCCACCTCCTCTCCCTGCGGCCGCGGCCGGACTGAGGGCTGTGCGCGCTGGGCGCTGGCGTCCTTCCCATCCTCAGGCTCACCACTCCCTTTCCACCTTCCATGGCCAGACCCTCCCACTCCAAGTCGGCTTTGCAGACTCCAGCCTGGCCCTTCCCCGCCGCCGCCCCTCCCCCTCTGTGTGGAGCCCCATCGGTGGACCCGCGAAGATGTGACATTTGCAGTCGCTTGTTTGCATCTCCTTATTCAGTCAACCTATCAGATGTCCTATCTGCTAGACTTTTCATGTCGCAGGAGAGTGGGTGGGAAAGGGGTTCCAGGGGCTGCAAAAGCCTGAGGTTGGTGATTTCAGGAGAGCAAAGTGGGGAGGAGGTGCCCACTTTTGAGCAAAGTCTTGAGCTCTCTGCAGAGACCGCCACACTCAGAGCTGGCATCTTCTCTTGAGTCTCCTTGGCCACCCCTTTCCTTCCAGCAGTCCTCATGCAGAGGGCTTGGGAGAAGAGCATCTTTCACTGCAGTGCTGGAAATGACTTCATTACTCAAATGCATGAACTTTTATTTACAAAGGACATCTTGTTTTCACCCTAAAGAGGTGCTTTGTAAGGGCCCGGAACAAGGCCCGCAGTGTATGAGCCTGTCCAATATACTGCCCACAGCCTGGACCTCTTCCTCTTGGCCTGTAATCTCATGCCTACAACTTCTGTCCAAGTCCTGTAACCTTCCTGAGAACCTTCCTGGGGAGAAGTTGCACTGCCGTGATGTAGGGTCGCCCCATGAATGGATAAGTGGCCACTGCGGTGGATGGGTACTTTTGCTTATGCTGACTGAATGACAGAACTTTTCCCTAAAATCCTTAAAAACGACCAGATGAGGGCTATAAAACCACCCAGGTAGGTTTCTAAGTGTTCAGAATCACAGATGTTCATGTGAGCAAACATCATCATGAGGTCTAATCATTAACTCCAATTCACACAAGTTCTTTTATCCAAGAATAAATAAAACAACCATGTATTCTTCACCTGTGATGTGCTGGATACCAAACATGCATTATTTATGGTCTTCACAGTATTTCTGCATAGTAGGGCTACTATTTCCTTTTTATGGAAGAAAAAAATGGAGATGCAGACAGACCAGGACCTTTCCCCAAAGTCACACAGCTGCAAGAAACCTGAGTCACCATACCAAAGTTTCCCTACATCACACTGAAACTCACAAGATGAAGTCCACAAGTTTGTGAGGGTGCCCCCTTCTTTGGACTGCCTTCAATGTACTGTAATTTAACATCATAATTTTCATTTATATGGTCTTGAAGAAAATTCCAAGAAAGAGTTTTGTTATCCACACTGTCAGGGGAGGAGTTATCCTCTGTAGCCGACTCTGTAGCCTGATTAAATCTGATGGTGACTAACCTGAGCAGTAAGTTTTCAAAGTGGAAGAGATAGAATTTTCATACATTTTGAAAGTATTTGTAATGATTTCTCTTGAAAATAAAAAATACCACAAGGAACTATTAAGCTGAATTGTGGCAGTGTTCTTTCACACAAACTGGTCAGCCTCCTTGGATGGTGCAAGAGTTGGTATGTTTGGTTTGGCTGGGTCTTCTGAGAGATTTCCAGTGGAGCACAAGGAGTCCGACACTGAGGGGGAATGGTAATGTCCCGTCCACCCTCCCTTTATGGAGATACATATGTATGTATTTTCTGAAAAGTTATATCCTATTTTCCATTAGCTACAGATGAATCTTTCCCACTGTGTTTAACCCAAGATTTCCCCCTGCCCTGCAGACAGTGTGCAAGTTCTCCAAGAAGACCTGAGCCGTGGGGAGAGGAATATCAGCATCTTGTTTTTGATCAAGTAGATATTTTCCAGAGATTTTTTTTCCTTATCTATTTTCACACAGTATTATTATTTTTGAAGTAAATGCACATTGTATTAGAGCATAGATTTTTATATGAAATAAAAGCATGGCTCAAATCCTAGGCCCAATTACAGCACTTCCAAGAGCTTGGCACAGAAGTTAGTTTCCTCATTTGTAAAATGAGAACAGTGGTGCCTCTTCTGCTGCATTATTATGAATGCTAAATGAATCAATGCAAATAACTATTAACATAGATTTGCATATACACACAGTGTGTAGTAAATGTTATTTATTTACGCAATATTTTCAAGTTTTGAAGAAGAACAGATGACTGTTTCTAAAGAAGCATGTTTATGCATCCTGTGCTCCTGTGCTTGAGTGACCTCTCGTGCTGGGCATAGTCATTTTCATTACTGGCTGTGTTAGTCTTGGAATGAAGCTGCTTGGATGGTAGGGTAGCAAAGCCAACAGCAAGGAGAGAACATGCATTAGAATTCTACAGCAACTGGAAAGCAATGGAACAAAGGGAATGAGTTCCTCAATAGAAGCCACTTCCTGAGCACACGGGGTTGTGACTCCTGCTGAGTCCGACCCACTGGGGACTGTTTCCAGCATGGCTGTTCTCTGTCAGGACACTCCCTCTCCTCTCTTCTCTTCCTGGGAAAAGGAAGACTGTTCATCATATGCCTCCATAGTCATTGTCTCCTTCGGGACTTCTACATTCCGCATGATCAAAGGAGGACTGCTCCATCACCCCCAAGACACAGAAGAAAGCACAGACATTCAGAGAAATTGAGAGGTTAAACACCCTGCCTGCTGGTGCCAAACCAGTGTGTGCAAACCGTGTGTCTCACACCTTCCAACCTCCAGGCCAACGACTTTCCTAACCAGCCCAAGTTATTTTTAGTTTTGACCGAAGCAGGTCTGATGGTTTTGGGGCTTTATCAAAAGAAAGTCCTGAAATTCCTTGATGAGTCCCCTGGTGTAGTTTTCAGCAGATAAGCATCAGGGCTGCCTGTTCCTCCAGCCCTTGGCTGATGGGTCTGTCTTCGCCTCCAAGGAGCAGGGCAGGGTGCTATTAACACAGCCCATGTGCTCTGCTGTAAATAGAAAGTCATGTCAGATACTATTTTGGGTTCAGAGGTGCTAATCCTGACAAAACTAGACAGGGGATTGTTGTGGGAACTGTGTACTAGTGACAATATTTCACGGTGGCATTGGTTATGGAGGCAGATATGAACTGAAGCTATGCCTTACTGGGCACCCTCTAATTGATAAGCCTGATTCCTACTAATGTTCCTCTCCTCTAAGCCTGAGAGCCTCCTTCGTGAACAACTGTGATGGAACCTCTATGAGAAGGAGCAGAAGAGCCGGAAGGTGACAACTAGAGGTATTTTAAATGTTCTTCCTGCCATTAACTTTTTCAGGGTTTTGTTCAGATGTGTTATTTTCTGTTACAGCCTCACTTGGCTCTCAGTCTACATTACTTGCGTTCTTTGCCATCCGTCCACTTATGAATTTATTCAGTCAGCCCTTATTGAGCATTTCAATATACAAAATTTAGATGGTTGAGGAGAAAAAGGTGAAAATATGCTCCTAATGGCCAAAAAGTTCAGAATTGGATGGGACAGATGTATGCAGACCCCATGAGGAATGCTAAATGATTAATAGGACTCCGGAGGGGAAACACAGACAAGCTGCTAATAAAATTAACAGAACAAGCTTTTAGACAGATGCAGCTGGGAGAAGTCAGGGAAGGTTCTAGAAGCAGGCAGCTTAATGTCTGGGGTGAGGGGAAGAATAACACTGCAGGAGCAGAGGGAGGGAGGCAGTGGCTCACAAGGAGCAAGGAAGCCATGTGGTTTCCCCAGCTCTCTGGGCTCCGTGTTCTCCTGGTGCAGTTCCTGCCCTCTGGCCCACAGGGACTGGGCGAGAAGAAAGCACGTTCCAACCCTTGCTGGCCTCTCATCCTGCCCTCCAGGGGAGGCCCAATGTGCCACCCAAGGTCTTCCAGATTCGAAAATGAGCACTGAGGGGAGCTATGGTTATGCACTGAACAAAATTCTGAGAAAATGAAGGAAGAAAGAATAACTCTGAGAGGGCTTAACTATTTATCCATCTCCTGGCTCTCCTGAGATCTGCCTCATCTGGATTGAATCCCAGCAGTCTTTCATAAAAGTGAATCTTAATCTGAGAGGAGAAAGTTGTTAGAAAATGGGACACCCATTCTTCTGCCACTTGAATATCAGGTAGAGTTCTCACGGTAGGGGACAGCCTCTATTTGCTTCTTTGAACTCATCATAAAATTGTTATCACTTTTTTAAGTGGAGAAACTTAAGCCTTTGAATGACATGGTCATGTTTCCATTTGAAGAAACTTAAAGGCACCGGATAAAATAATTATACTAAAATTAGAAAGTGCTGTTATCGAGAAGGAGGAAATAACAAGTGCCTGGTATCATAGTACTCTGGGAAAGTAACTTCAAGCACTGAAAATATTTTGATGGAAATAAGTTTCAGGCTTTTGCTGCATCTGTATTTATGTAGTTTGTCTATTTTTCTGTTTCATATTCTCAATTGTATGTTTTACATATATATTTTATGTATGCCAATTTCATCAATTTAGTCTGTTACAAAAATAAGTCAAGTTGCACATAATATTTACTCCTTGTCACTATGATTCTGTAGCATGAATAATCACTTTCATGTTTAAATTTAGGAGGATCCTCTAGTAAGAATAGGGCTTCCAATGGAAGATAAGTTGACAGACCAATTAGGAGGCTGGGGAAGGATTTTCTTCTCACACAAGCTCTACAAGTCCTGAGGGCAGCACTGCCCTCCTAAGCAAGTGGACTTAGAAAGCATTTCAGAGTAGCGGCAATGAGGACATCTTGATGCAAATGGATCAGCCTCACGATGAATCAAACCTAGGAGAATGATTCTATCAAGTTGTATTGATCTCTCTGTGCTATGATGGTCCCTTCCAGTCAAGTAGCATGGCGACTTCATCAGTGCTAAAGGAAAGTGATGAATGTTCCTAGTAATACAATCAGTAGAGAAGAGGAGCTGTCAATATCCATTAACTCAGAGGTGAGATCAGTATACAATAATGATGTGATATAATTAAGAAGACTTGGACAACCTTCAAAAGAGGAGCCCCGATGAGCTGACTTTTTGTGTATCCCATCTCACATCCAGGATCACAGAGACTGTCAGTTAAGAGAAAGATTTCTGTCACTGTGGGTGTGTATGAAGAAAGGAGGGTTAACGTAGAATCTATGTTAATGTGAACAGGTCCAGAGACTAGCAGGTAAGACTCGACTGAAAAACTTCCTAACTCAGCTCTGCATCCCCTCTTTTATGCTGTAGAAAATGCACGCCAGACATGCTTACTTTAAAAAGATCTACTGATTTTAGAGAAAAATTTTAGAAGTAGGGAGAGCAAAATCATAACAACATCTCAAATTGTTTCAGTATGGAGTCAAAGTATAGTTGTTAATATTCCTGCAATTGATAAACTAATCTTGTTCTAAATGGCCAACAGTATAGATTCGGGTTGTCAAAAGACAGGCTTTCAAGCCCTTAATCACTCTACCCTTTATTCCTGATTATTTAACACTCTAAGTAAGAATGAGTTTTCACCATCTGTCCACAGTACTTTTCAAATACTTTTAATAAGTCTACTTCGTTTGCTGTATTTTCTAGGCTGTACAGCAAAGTAGAAATCAGACAGAAATTCTTGTCTTCAAGAAATTTGTATTACAATTGAAGCAATTCTAATTTATATTACAATCAAAGGGTAGACAGCAATAGAGAATACCAATCATATTTGAGAAATATGTAAGATGTCAAAGAAGAATAAAACTGGGTAAAGGGATAAATCATGCAAGCGTAAGCAGTGAGCGGGAACACCTAACTGGCGCAATTCGATCAGGCTGTGGCTGACTGGGAGAGAAGCTGGGCCTCTTATATAAGCTTGCATATATAAGGAACAGAGAAGAAGAGGCAGCATGGGAAGAGGCAGCAACAAGAAAGGCTCCTCGGCCCCCAATTCTGAGAAACAGGCAATAGCAGACACCGCACCAATACACATAAGGCGCCATATAGAGAGCCTCATAGACCAATTCAGGAATGAAGTTATCAACGACCTGAAGCTAGAAGTATGCAGAATAGTTAGAGAAATGCTAAGTACCACCCAAGAAAAAACAGGTGGTGGAATGGAAGAACAGAAAAAAAGGGGAGAATTGTTTGATGGAGAAAACAGAGAAAGCATAGAATTCGTGAAGCAGGTTCAAAGGGACTACCAAGATACTAAGAAGTCTATCGAAGACTGGCATAACAGCTTGAAAGAAACTAAGGACAGACTATCTGAACTGGAGGGCAGACTTGTAATATGGGAGAATGAAATGAAAAACTTCTTAAAAATAACAAAGAAACAAACAGCAATAATACAAAGACAAGAAGATGATAAGAGGATCCATAACTTAAGGATTAAGAACATAAAAGAAGAAGTAGGGACACAAACAAGTGAACTACAAAAGCTACTCACAGAAATAATCCAGGAGAATTTTCCTAATTTAGCAAAAGGTAAAGATACTCAGATGTATGAGGCATACAGGACCCCAGCCACCTACAACCCAAACAGATCTACACCCAGGCATATAATAATCAGAATTCCAGAAATTCAATACAAGAACAGAATATTAAAAGCTGTCAGAGACAAGAAACAGACCACTTACAAGGGAACACCCATCAGAATTACAGCAGATTTCTCTGCACAAACCATCAAATCACGAAGAGCATGGGGGGAAATAATTCAAGCTTTGAAAGATAATAATCTCCAGCCAAGATTGAGATATCCTGCACAACTGTCCCTGGAAATTGATGGAAAAACAAGGTGCTTCCAGGATAAAGAGGAACTGGGGGAATTTGCAATCACCAATTCAACTCTACAGAGAGTATTGCAGGATATTCTAAAAAAGAAAAATACAAAGAATCCAGAAATAATGTCAGAGAGGCCACAACGAATGGAGCAGAGAACAAAATGAAGAAGACAAACTGACAGCTACTGACAGAAAAAGAGCTCAACAGAAATGAGACAGAGAAGATTGGATGATAGGAACAGCTGTTTTGGAGAAAATGACATCTTAATAGGTAATACTGATTTAGTATCATCTTGTTTTGAAGTCTCATCTAGCTTTTGTCCTTCTGTCTCCAATGGTCTAAATAGGCTGTATCTTATTGGATTTTATTCTGTACGATAGTATAAGCAAAAACCTTTTAAAGACAAGGAGATTATACAGAAACCATTGTTCATTTTCTGTTAGTCGATTCTAAATACTCTGTAATGCTGTCATTCTCTTGAATGGTTTTACATTGTTTTGATATACTTAATGCTACAGTATACGAAGTTGTACTCAAGGATTTCAAAGAAAGAGACAATATGGTAACTACTTTTAGGTCAGGATTATCTGGTGGTGAAACACTATGCTGCTTAAATGGTTATGTTTTGATCTGCGCTGTTTCGTTGTTATGCCCTTTTTTATCTCAATCTCCACTCCATTATTTACTTTTTTATCTTTATCCTTTTAATTAAAGGAAAAAAATAGCAGGATATATTATAGTAACCCCCTTTGACTTTTCATTACCTTGATTTAAAGCCCTGTATTACTCTCACCATCTGGTTTTTAACTGATGTTCCCCTATTCTGTTTTGCTGGATAGTATCAGTTCGAAAGTTTAGGCATCAGCTGTGAAGATAATGAGATTCATTATGACGCCCATTCTCGTTGACTTTTATCTACTTTTGAAGACCTACAATGTCTCCAATGTTTTGGTTTTGTCAGTTTTATTCTTTACTGTTTTGTTCAATTGTATTATAACTAACGATATAGGCAATTCTATTAGAGATAGCGGGAGGCATTATGGTAACCATTGTTGATCACCTTGTATTGTTTTTACATTATCTATTATGTCCACCCTTTTGACTTGACCGATTCTGTTCTGTTATGTCACATTTGGTTTTACTCTCTTCCAAAAAAGTAATAAGAACCGTGGGAGCAATGAAACCCAAAATGTGTAATAGTCATGGTACAAAAGAGAGGAAAAGAAAGTGCTCCAAACTATATAACTGCATGTATATTTAAGTGTATAAGATAGAAAATGATATCACAGAGTTTTATTGGATCAATGAACAGAACTGTTTGCAGTATCATTGATGGAATGTCCACTTTACAAGCTTTAATTTTGTGACTTGAACAATTATTTCTAAGATGACAATATGTAATCCATTAACTAGTGATTTCCTACTGTTCATTTTTTTCTGTAAATCTGTATAACTTGTACCCTTTCCCTGCTTTTTTTTTCTTTTCTCCTTAAATAAAATTAAAAAA